CACCTGCAAGCCCAGAGCACTGGTGCAGCAGCGAGTGGCAGGTGGAGAGCCCTGCTCTGTGGTGCACAGAGCTGACACCTGAGGGGACCTTACGCACACACCAGCATGTCATAGTGTGTGCACACACAGAGCGACAGGAAAAGCAAACAAGTGACTTTAGGTAGAAACACAGGTTTGTTCCTATCTAAACCCTCAAACAGATCTATTGCCCAGAAAAGCAGCTGCAGGGACTCGAGAGTGCCACAAGAATCACTGCACAGTCGCAGTGATAGTACGTACTGAAGGCTTCTCACCAACATACCTGAGTAAAACACAGTTCCTTGCCAGGACGCAACTGGGGCTCAAATAAACATCTGTCCTGTGGGTGAGAACATTCCTCACTGCTGTCACAGGCCCAAATTCCGCCTTCTGAGGTTTTGCCCCTGCCTGCCTGTGACGGCATCTGCCAGTAAAACAGTGTGACATCGGGTGGCGCTCACTGTTTCAGCAGACGGCAGCGCACTCTCAAACACTGAAGCATTTCTTAAACAACTCCACTCTGCACAGCCTTGAGGGTTTAAGAACTGGGAAGCTCACACTCATGTGGCTGCCGTGAGCCTTCCTATCCCGTCCTCCGTACTCAAAAGCACAACTTGCATCCTGGCAGTAAACGCTGACACAGCGGCTGTCCTTTTTTCAGATACAAGCTGTAACCCGCTGCACTGCAGCACCAAATGTACCTTCCATTCTTCCACACTGGGTGTAAAGACAGGCACTTGGAACTGAGACTTGATGATGCAAACACTTGCTGGATCGTCACAGACACTCTGAAAGGACAGAAACCCAGGTCACCCCAGGAGTAGGCACCAACGAAGAACCTCCAGCCCTGGCTGGGCTGGAGAGACGACTCTGAGGTTAAGAGCACTCACTGCTCTTGAAGAAGACCTGGGTTTGATTCTCAGCAGCCTTGTGGCAGCTCACCATCTGTAACCCCAGCTCCAGAGCCTTTCCTGGCCTCCAAGGGCCCCAGGCGTGCATATGGCGTACTTACATACACACAGCCAAAATAGTCATACGCATAAAATATATGAATAAAAGAGCCTGGTGGTTGCTATGGTAGAATCAGATAGCCCTGATCCCGCCCAGACATCACTGACCTGGCAACACTTCTGCACACCATGAGGCACCAGGAGCAAAGTGCTAGTTGTGGTGGTTTGAGTAAGAACAGCTTCCATAAGCTCATCTAGGTGTGACCTTGTTGGAGGAAGCATATCATGGCAGGGGTACTTTAAGCTTTCAAAGCCATGCCAGGCCCAGATCCTCCCTCTCCTCGAGCAGATCAGGATGTAGCTTTGAGCGATCTCTCTGGCACAATCCTGCCACACTTGCCTCCATGTCCCTCGCCATGACGATGGACTAAACCCCTGAAACTGTACGCCAGCCCCCAACTAAACACTGTCCTTTGTAAGAGTGGTTGTGGTCATGGTGTTTCTTCACAGAAATAGAACAGCGACTAAGACACTACTAATGTCGTGCTATGAAGCCAATGCAACAAAAGAGCTCTGAGAGACAGTGTCAAAACATATCCTGTGGCTAAGGTTCCTTTCTCAACATGGCAGTTGCTCAGAATGAGGCCACACCTCCACCAGCTCGTAGCCATCCAATCACGTTTCTGACAAGCATGGAAAATAGAAGCCTCTTTAGAATACTTCTTCTGCCTTTCCAGGAACAAAAGGAAAAAAAGCAGGTGACTAGAGGTAGAACCCATCAATCACATTCTGCAGTATACCCCCAAGCTGATCCTATAAGGTAGTGACACCAGAGAGAGACCTGGAGAGGAGTCGCCCCGCAGGTCCTAAGGCCACACAGTCAGCTGCTGCTGGCAGGAGGCTGGAGTACCGAGAGCCACTGCACGGTGTCTTACAGACTCAGTCAGGCCCCTCAAAGGCTGGAGACTGCAGCGCCAGATGACCCGAGAGAAGCCTCGGCATGTGGTGGAAAAGAAAAGGCCGGGTTTGTGCAGCTTCTCCTTAAGGCTCTCCTCTGTGCTTCTTCAAGTTCGGCCAAAGGGAATCCACAGACAAAGGGGTACACACGAACCCAACAAACATGCTCTGAAACAGCATGCTCTTGCTTGCTCAGCCACAATGCACCTACACAAGCCCAAGTCTGGGTTAAGGCCAGGTGACAAGTGACTGGACAGAAGCTGAGGAAGCCAAATGCCAGGTTCCATCTGACCACATGCCTCCAGATCCTAGAACAGACCTCCCCATGAGTGGCTGCTGCTAAGACAGGAAAGCCATCCAGAGTGTGACCAAAGGCCCAGAGGACCCAACCCATGGGAACCAGTAGCCAGTACCTGGGCCCTAGGCAGGGCCATACTGTTAGCCTGGCCTGCTAACAGAGTGCCATCCCTACGCTTCTCTGGGGGGACTTCCATCACTGGAACCAGCCTCCTTAACTCTGGAAGTTGTTTTTTAAAGAACAGAGTAAAGTGCCCAACTGTGAGACTTCCCCATCTGTCTCTTACCCTTTTGTAGGGAAAAAGATTCTGTACCTTTGCTTCTTCTCGGGTTGGGATGCAGAGCCACTTTACAACTATAGAACTCTCATACTGCCACCTAGTGGAAGCCAGAGGAATGACCGCATGTGCCCTTGATCTAGACCAGCAGTTCTGGGGTCAAACAACCCTTTCACAGGGGTCACCTAAGACCATTGGGAAACACAAATATTTACATTACAATTCATAACAGTAGCAAAACTGTAGTTATAAAGTAGCAATGCAAATACTTTTATGACTGGGGTGATCACGACCTGAGGAACTGTATGGCAAGTGGAGAGCCACTGGGGTAACTTGTCTGCAGAGACTCTTCACAGCAGCTGTGCTAGCTACACTAGACGAAGCCCCTTCTTGCCATCCTCAGCTAAGATTAGGAGGATGGATCATCACAGACCAACCTCCAGTTACGCGCAGGACCTTAAGGCAGGACGGAAGACAAAGTGGGGAAGGTGAGCCGGGCAGAGGCTGGAATGCCAGTGAAAGGAAGATGGTTAAAGGGGGGGGGGGGGAGGCGGCAAAGACCATCACCAGGGGACCACAAGGCCAAGGAGACAATCAGGCACAACTTTCCACCTGGGGAGCACTGCCCCTAGGATCTTAATTTAGAAACACCAAAACATGCAAGGAAGAAAGATACTGGAGACAAGAAGATCTCCATGAGTTCCAGGGTAGGCTGCGCTATCAGTGAGGCCTGAGAGACCTGTCTCAAAAATCAAACAAGCAAATAAAAGCAAAAACAGAAAAGAAAAACATCGGGGCTGGAGAGGTGGCGCAGCAGTTCTGAGCACCGGCTGCCCTCCCAGAGGGTCCACTCCAATTCCCAGCACCCACACGGCGGCTCACAGCTGTCTGTAACTTACCCATTATGCATATAGACTATATGCAGGCAGAAGAGAAAAATACATAAAATATCCCATCTTAATACACTGAGGAAAACCCGATGCATTGAGTTATAAGAGCAATAAGCCCCTTTCAATGTAATGTGCACACATGCATGCACACATACATACCTACATATATACAACAGCAAACGACACTGCTGACATCCCTGAACATGGCCAAGGCAGGCTTTCACCAGGACAGGAGCTGAAAGGCTTGCTCCCTTCTGCCTACTGCAGGAGGCACTGGGAAGTCACTGCATGCTGCCCAAACCGCCTGCACTCCAGCTGTGGCTCTCTAAAGAGAAAGTGCTGTAGAGGGAGTGGTGGGGGAAGAGAGGGGACCTCAAAGGCCTTGGAAGGAAAGAAGAGAGAACACGTGACAGAAAGGCTTTATCTCCACGATGGAGAGAACAGAAGTTGGCATTGAGCACCTGTGGAGGCCAGTAGGCACTGACCAGGGCAGTGTCTCCTACACAGGGATGCCCAAGAGTTGCAGGAGCCTGGACATAGCCATATGGGCTATTCTGGGTCCAAGCTCAGAATATAAATACCCAGTGAACACATTCAGGTCTGAAGAGAAGTGAAACCTCAAAGCCAGGAGTCATTCAATTCAATGAACACTTGGACATGGCAGGCAGATGGAGGGCAGCTCAGTGGTAAAGTACATATTTTGTTTCATCTCAACACCAAAACCACGAAACCCCCCCCCCCAAAGCGAAAAAAACCTGATATAAATTATCAAGCCTATGAGATGATCTGTAGCTAGTATTTTCTCCACATTCCTAAAATGAATCCACATTTTTCTAACAACAACAAATGCTCAGTGATGAAGTTCTGGAATGCACCTGGGGGAGCAATTTCATGTGCTCCAAGAACTCTTCCTCCACTCTGTGGGCCAGTCCACTGGTGTGGACCAGAAACACACGGCTCACTCACGCTCCACAACACAGACGGAGTTGTAAGAGCATAGTGCTAGGACACCAGGCAATGTGGAAGGCTTTTCGGCTACTGCTTCTCACTTCAAACAAACGTAGGCAGAGGGTGCTGACGTGGCCAGAAGGCTGCTACACACTGCCACCCAGCCCTGCAGGCCCAGGATCCCAACACATCACTGCTCTTTGACCCTTCCCAGACCCCAACATTCCCTCCTGAGACAAGACTTGCTATTGGATTTGGTTTGGAAAGGTGAAGATCTTGGGCCAGGCAGGGTGGCACGTGCCTTTAATCCCAGCAAGCAGGCGGATCTCTGAGCTCAAGGCCAGCCTGGTCTACAGAGTGAGTTCCAGGACAGCCAAGGCTACACAGAAAAACCCTGTCTTGAAAACAAAACAAATTTAAAAAATAACTATTCGAACATACAAAAAGGTAAAACAATGGGCAGAAGTGGCACTCGGCTGCTGCCCCAGGCCTCCCTGTGTGACTCCTCTCTGTCTCTGTACCCCAGCACCTGCTTCCCCACCAAACCATGCCTGCTGCCCCAAACCTTGTCTATACTGTCCCCAGAAGCTGGTGCTGGGGAGTCCAGTTCTCAGCAGAGAAAATGTCAGTCAAGGGACACAAAAGAACACAAGGGAACTTGCCTTTTCCATCTGTGGCTGAGGCTTCTTGTAAATGTCTGATTGACCTAAAAATAACCATTTGGAGAAGGGAGGTTAGTAGGCAAGCCTGCATTCTTTTCTATTTCTGGCTCCAGTAGCTGAGGACCCAAGCCCCCATTGCAAACTGAAAGGGTCGGACCAGACGACGAGACAGCACCCCTTCTAAAGCAAGAAATCTCTGCCAGTCCACACTTGGCCATTTATGGTCAAGCTGAGAGGAAGAGGCCCTCTGCTGGAAGAATCAGGGCCAGCAGGGGGAACAATGGAACTGCCATCATTTCATTCTGCTCTCATTTGCCCAACCACCCTGTCCCTCAGAAGATGGCAAGCCCAAGATGAGCAGCCCTGCCAGGCAGGGGAATGACCCAGGAGAAAGTCACTGCTGGTTGCTAAATTAAGGTCTAGAAGCTGTGAAGGTCTAGGGCTTTACATGAACTCACTGTACTTGGTAAGATGGAAAAGGCCAGACTCTGGCAGCCTTTTTCAGGCTCTGCGGTGATGATGACTAATCACCATCATTATGGTCTAGGCAGAGGACATTAGCGCTATTAAAGATGCCGTGAAGGCAGGCACTGTGGTGCATGCTGCAATCCCAGCACTCCGAAGGCTGATACAGGAGGCCTGCTGAGAGTTCAAAACCACCCCAGACTAAGAATGAGCATTAGGCTAGCCAGAGCTACACAGTGAATCCCTGCTCAAATAACAAGACGTAACAAAAAAAAAAAAAAAAAAAAAAAAAGACTTGGAGCTGTAAGCACAGCTCATAGCCACAGGGGAAAGCAAGCCTTCCCTGAGCAGACAGACAAGGAAGTGCAATAGAAGCAGGTGAGGAATCATAGGCAGGATTTCTGTTCCAACACTAACCCCAACAGACTCTTCTCTATGGAGAAATCACTTCTAAAACCTCAGTGAAGAACCCCAGTAATCCCCAAACATCATGAGAAAGTGAACACAGCAATACTATTAGCATAAAGGTAGTTTATGCTAGTGGAACCAACACTGGCTGAATCAAGCATTTTAAAATTTTAGTGGTGCTATTTATTTGTAATTAAATTAGTATGTACGTGTGCGAATGTGTGTGTGGACATCAGAGGACAACTTGATGGTATTGGTTTTTCTCTTTCCCCCATGTGGGTCTCAGGGATCAAATTCAGGTCATCAGGCTTGGTGGCCATTGAACCATTTCACTGGCTCACGGATGCTATTTCTTCTATATTTATTAGAATATCATCTCATGCAGCAATTTTCAGAAAACAATTATCATAAAGGATCTTGCCACTATGCACCTACTCAGTGCTGTGATCAAGGGACAAGAAATGACCACTGGTAGCTCTATGCTTTTGGTGGTTTGAATAAGAATGGTCCCCATAGCCTCATATACTTGAATACTTTGTCCCCAGCTGGTGGAACTGTTTCAGTAGGATTAGGAGGTGTGGTCTTGTTGAAGCAGGTGTCAGTGGTGGTAGGTTTTGAGGTTGAGTTAGCACGCTCTGCTGCCTACTTAACAGATCAAGATATGAGGTTTGGGCTACTGCTCCTGTGCCATGCCTGCCTGCCTGCTGCCATGCTCCCTGCCATGACAGTCATGGACTCAAACCCTCTGAAACCATAAGCCCCAAATAAACTCTCTCTTGTACTAGCTGTCTTGGTCACGGTATCTTATCATAGCAATAGTAAACTGAGACAATATTCAGCTGGGACCCTTGTACTTCAGGGTTTCAGCAACTGCAGACGTTAAGAGTAGGACCTAACTCTGGCTTCCCAACACTCGAGGACAGCACTGACCATTCTGGGTAGATGTCTGAGCTGCCTGTTGTGGGCAGGATGGCAGGGCAGCTGGGGAGACTGCAAGGTTATGGTCTCCCCCTACTTCTTTTCTTCTGTAGGGCCGCCCGAGATGGGCAGGCAGCCCCAGTCATACACCGGCAACTGCTGTGGCACTGTAACTGAAGTCCTGGCACCCTTCCTTGTGGAGCCAGGAACTCAAAGGCAACATCCACTTTCTTTTCTGAGACAGGATCTCATACGGCCCAGGCTGGTCACAAACTTGCTATGTGGCAGAGGATGGTCTTCTCTGCCTCTACTTTCTCCCTGCAGGGCTTCCAGATGCACCACCTCGCCATGTTTATGCTGTGCTGGAGAAGGAACCCATGGCTTCAAGCATGCTAGGCAAGCACTCTCATCACCCAGGCCACATCCCAGCACTCCTAGCTCTCCTCTACACTAGTAGCAGCTGGTTGACATGAATATTTATGTTGTACAAAGACTATGGGGAGGGTTACTCTAACGAGAAACATCAATAATCAGAGTGGCTGGACAATACACCCAACAACTTAGGATTCTAGAAAGCACCAACTTACAGCAATGGATGCTGCCAGAAAGCACAACTCACTTCCTCAACAATAACCATCATGAACTGTGCTGGAGAAGCCAGGAACCAGATACCAACAATGAGTGGGAGCTGTGTTATCACCAGCCTGTTCTGTCTACTTGACTGCACTAGAGCACCAATTTGCCCATCTCTGCCATGATTTCAGAAGGACTCTTTTCCTCACAGAGCATGGCAATGACCTCTTCACACAATCGAAGCACAAGCCTAAACCCTGTCATTTCTGGGGCAGAGCAAGCCACTCTCCAGAGGCCCAAAACCTGAGTGGCCTGAGAACTACCACTAGTTTATGTCAGAATATGTTCTCATTTTCTATGTAAAATGGCAAGAAAATGATTCTCCTCTCAGCCCTTATCAGACTCTAGCTGACATTTTACATGGCCACTAAGCTCTCGCCTCTAGACCTTTCTCAACAGGGTAGGACTAAGCTCTGCATCCTTTGGTCCAGACCAATTCTACAGGGGTCCCCTGGGTAACTCTCAGTAGCTCAGGCCTGAGATATGAATTCCCTTAATCTCACCCCTAGCTAGTTACTTGGGGAAGCCTGGGGTCTCCAGGACTGTCTTCTTCAAAGAGATGCCCTGTGACTCTGGCTGCACACACACTGCCCTCGGTTACTTACCACACCACTGGGAAGAGGATGGCGCCACAGCACAGCAAGTCGACCAGGAACAGAGAATCCTTCCATAAGCCGTACTCTGTCGTGCCCTCCTCGGTAGACTCTATGATGATGTATGCCACATTTGCCAGCACCTACAGGACATGGGACCCCAAAGCATAAGCGCCGTTGTGACAGTGGCCCAAAGTGGGATGCTCACCTGTGCTGTCAGCCTCAGCGATTGGCTGCAGCGATACTGTCAGATCCATAAACTCCCTGAGAACCTTGTCTCCCAGCTTGCTGCCTCCTGACCCTGGCAGGCTGCTGTGTGATTTCCAAAGTGGGTATAGCTTCCTCCTGGCCCTCCCTCTACTGGGATCTATAGAACACTGGGCCTTTTTATAAGGTAGTCTGAGTCCCTTAAACTGCCATGGTGAAGGCGAAGGTGAAGATGAAGGCGCCTCAGCTGTTTCTACTCTGTCTGATGAGGCCTTCCCAGCCTAGGACACAGACTCAGTGAAGACTACAATAACCAGACTCCAGCCATCAAAAGACTGCAAGCAGGCCAGACCCTAGGCCAGGCCTACCCAATTAAAGTACCCCCAAATCCTTGGCCCACAGAAGTGGAGATTTCCTGTTTAGTCTTGCCTTAAATCGTCATGTTTGGGGTGGCATGTAGCAAGGGTAGTGGAAACCCTTTGCTTTGGGGCACCCAAGCCTCAGGCAAAGCTACCGGGCAGGTGGCTCTTCACGTCCCTCCTAGCTAGGATGCCACCCGTCCTCAGGCCCAGCTCTTCCAGAGAGTTCCTGCTTCTCAGGGACAATAACTGAGTTGCTGAAACAGAGACCAGAGGTCAGAGCAACGAGAAGTGCAGACTCTTCTGCTCCTCACGTGGGCGGCCTGTCCAGTCCCCCTTCCTGCACAGGACACAGATCTTCCTGAGGCCCATCCACCACCATGTCTTACTTCTATTTTTTTTTTTGCAACTCTTTATTTATTATTATTATTATTATTATTATTATTATTATTATTATTTACATTTTATTAACTCTGTATCCCAGCTGTATCCCGCTCCCTTATTCCCTCCCAATCCCACCCTCCCTCCCTCAGCTCCTCCCTGCCCCTTTCCAAATCCATGGATTGGGGATTTGGTCTGGCCCTGTTTTATCAGGTATCTTCAGGACTGGCTGCAAAGTCCTCCTCTGTGACCATGTCTTATTTCTAACTCCACACTAAGGCTTTGTCTTGTGCGCTTAGCCCTGCCCGTGGACTCTTAGCAGGATATGGACAATTTTTCAACTGGCTTAACTGAGACCCTACTGCACATCAGGGAAGTTTATGACTTATGGTATTTACTTCTAGGGAGTACCATGAGCCATGATGAAGAGATAACGATGAGGCATGTTGGAGCTGGAGAGATGGCACAGCAGTTAAGCAAGCTTGCTGAGCAGTCATGAGAACCAGCGGCTGGGTCCCAGCATCCATCTCACAAGCCAGGTGTCCTTAACACAATCACAAGCCCAGCTCAGCTCGGAGTGGGATGGAAAAACGGTGACTGCTGGGCTTGCTGGCTTCCGGCCTCGTCTAGAAAGGCAAACCCCAATTCCACTTGGGGCTCAGTTCAAACACTCTGCTCAGAGGTAGGGCGGAGCCACTCCCTACAGGGCTCCTGAACATCAGGTACTCACTCATGCTTCAGGTGAGGCTCAGCAGACCTTGCCTTTTTAAGGTCTTGGGTTCTGTGCCAAGCACCGAAAGAAAAACAAAAGGGGAAGAAAAAAAAAAAGAAAATTTCTGGTACTCCCCAAGGCAAAAGGAAGCCACTTAGACTTTGGTCAAGACCTTCCCAGACCAGTCCCATTGTCTAAATACTAACTTCCTTATCTTTAGTTTCCAACATCCTTATTTCCTTAGGGTGACATTCAATGTGGCCTTGTGTGTTCACCTTTCAGAGGAGTCAGCAGGACAGATGTTTCTTTCTCACATCCCAGCTCAGGCCAGGGTAGGAATCAACAGACCAAAAGGCCTGAATCTGCCAGAAGGGACATGAACAGCAATTCTCAAAGTTGGAGAAAGAACTCAGGTTCTGTCATGTATACACTCGTAAAACCACGGCAGGTTATGAAATACCATCTGCCTAGAGATGGCCCTGGTGGCTTGGTCACCAGAAGACCTCAGCCTGTCTGGTTCCTCTGTCGACAGAGTCACAGGTATCTGTGGCTTCTCTGTTGCCGGTCATATTCCTTTTCTTAAGCATCCACCCAAGTCTCATCTGCATTACAGGCCTTCCAAATCACTCTGAGTGACTACTTTCTCCTTGAAAACCTTCAGCAACTGGTCTGGGTGATTGGTCTGGTGCTAGCTCACACTCCTTGATGAAAGCTGCCAAGCAGCCAATCAATCCCCAGGGATGATGTGGCCCAGAAGTTTTACTCTTCCTTCCTCTCCTGCCAGCCACACCCTTGCTACCATCTTAAACAGGAGCTGGCCTCACCAGAGGCATGGCCAGCTGGGAAGAGGTACCTGCCCAGCTATGGTGCCCTTAGCTTCAGGACCTGCTTCCTTGCATAGGCTGCTGGTATAATACAAGCCATGGCTCCTCCTTAAAGGGCTACAGTGAGGCACTTGTTAGGCAGGCCCCAGAGCATGGTCTCCAAACACAGGGTGATTTAATAAGTGCTAGCTCTATGGGCCACTCTCCTACTCCACCTTGCAGGGAAATTGGCTGGTGCCACTCAGTTCTAAAATACTGCAGGGCACCTGGGCCTGCTCATCAGGAGAACCATTTTGCTAGAGGCAACCAATGTAGAAGGCATGGCAGCATCTGTTTCTTGCTTCTCTGCACCTCTCTAACCATAATCTGGGCATCCAGGCCTGTCTGAAGACAAGTGCCCACCAGGACTTCCTGCACACAGCGAGGTCTGTCAGCAGCCAGAAAGGGAGGCCCTATCTGCGGCCCACAACGGCACAAGCTCAGGTTTCCAAGTGAACGGACTCCCTGCAGACAGGCCTGGAGCTGAGCCCTGCCCAGACAAGCTGGCCACAGTTGCATACCTGAAGCGGGATGACAATCATGAAGATCTTCTTGTCTTTATCAGACAAGATGTGCTTGATGAAGGCCCAGCCAGTGCCGATGAGAGCGATGGTTATGAACAGCAGCGCCCCCTTTAAACTGGAAGACACAACATTTTGCAGATACCGTCAGACTCTAGTCCTGTCAGTCATTCCAAGCTAACCCAAGCTAGCTCAAACTTTTAACTCAAAATGCAGCCAAAGATGATCTTGAACTTCTAACCCTCTCTCCTCTGCCTCCACCTCCCAAGGCTAAGATCACACTTGTTCACCACCACGCCTGCTTTATGCAGTGCTGGGAATGGAGCCCAGGGAGGAGGAACGCTTGGCAGGCATCCTACCAGCTGAGCCACAACCTCAGCTGCAGCTGTTCGTGTCTCTGTAAGCCATTTCATGGTGCAGGCCCTGCTGCCCCAGTCTTGTGGACCTGCATACTTACAGGTGAGTTATGTAGTACACGACAGCCCAGCCTTCAATGGGAAAGCCTTGCGAGGAGATGTAGTGGTAGTCAATCTGAAATCAAACAGCTGCGTTTCAGAAAGGCCAGGCCTTGCACCTCAGGGCAGGGTAAAGAAATAAATGACACCAAGAGATGCTGGGAACCAAGAGATGCTGGGAACCAAGAGATGCTGGGAATGGGTTGTGCCCGCCCACCCACCTGTCTAGTACCTCCCTTGCCAAGTCACCTAAAGCACACGAATGTGCTAACACATTTAACTGAGAAAGGTTGAGAAAGGCTTCAATGAACACCCAGCCAGGTCACACACTCTCTCTCAATTCACACTGGCAAACACTCTCTCTCCCTGGCCAAGCATGTTGTCATAAAGTCCTGCTCACAGCAAGACATCAGCCAACAAGACACAGTAAAAGACCTATGTCCAGTGACCTGGCTTCACCAATCTTAAGTTTAGACACGTGGAGCTAACTTAAGAGGCAGACTCCTGGCAGCTGGGAAAGATGGCTGCAGTGCAGAGACTTCATTTTGTAAGAGTCATCTAGATTTTAAAATGACTCAGGAACCCTCCCAACAATCTCTTACTGTAAATCCAAGGGGAAATTATCCAAGAAAATTCCGTGTCCTGTAGGTGTGACTGGGTGTGTTTTGCTTTCTTCTGTGAACCTATTTTCAAGTGCAGGAGACTCAGGCCTACCACATGTGCTTTATACATACCCCGTAGACCCCTAAATCGGGGAAGCCTTGATCCTGGCCCCACAGGTGAGCTCATTTTGATGAACACCAGTTCTCAGTAGTCAAAGCTCGATTCTTGGACTCCTGATCTTCAGAAGATTTGTTTTGTTTTATTTTGTTTTTTGTTTTGTTTTTCTTCTCAAGTAAACTACTGATGCTGGACTTTACTGACCGGAACACAAGGAGGATCACTGGGAGTTCAAGCCTTGGCTACAGACTGAGACTGTCTCAAAAACAATAAAATAATAGACACTAGTGTTCTGGAGAGACTATGGCCTGCAAGTTGGATGGGAGGCTGACTCACTAGACCCCATGGTCAGATGTCCGGCCCGAAAGGGCGTTATGAAAAACCCGTTCTTTCCCTTCATCTCCCACCAATGTTCCCTGCCTTCTAGCTTATCTTCCTGATCAAGTACACACAACCATCATTTCATAAGTGACCCCAAAGGCTAATACATACTGCATGGAACACCAAAGAAAGAGACTTGGTGAAAGGAAGGGCTGCCATCAACCAGTGAATTTTAAATACATCATTCCTATAAAAAAAGAGAAAAAAGAATTAAGAGACTGCTCTTCCCAAAAGGCAGCAGCATTAGGTACATTTCTCTTCATCTCTTCATCCATCCATCCATCCATCCATCCATCCATCCATCCATCCATCCATCCAGAGACAGGGCCTCTTTCCATAGCCCTGGCCGTCCTGGAACTCACTCTGTAGACAAGGTTGGCCTGGAACACATAAAGCTCTGCCTGCCTAACTGCCTCAAGCGCTGGGATTAAAGGTAAGTGCCTCTACACCTGGCTCCATCAGGTACATTGCTAAGCAAGCAGCAAGCACAATGTGAGCAAACCACAAACATGAAGTCTTATTTATTTTTATTTTTTTAAACAAAGCAGTTTTTGCCTGTTGAAATGAGACTGTGGTAGTTTACAGGAGAAGGCTTTCCTGGGCGCATATAGTTGGGTGCTTGGTCTGCAGTTGGTAGAAGGATGAGGAGGGATGTGTGACCTTGCTGGAGGATTCCTAGTTAGCTCTTTGCCTCACACTTGCGGCTCAAGATGTGAGCTCTCAGGTACTGCTCCAGCACCATGCATTTCTGCCTGCTGCCAGGCTCCCCACCATGATGGCCATGCCCACAGAGATCCACTTGCTTCTACCTTCTGAGTGCTGGGATGAGAGGGGTGTACCACCACCACCTGGCAGTGCCACTGAATTTAAACAGCTGTATCTGCAGACAACACTTTCTATAAATTTAAAACACATACAAAACAAAACAACTCAGCAAACCACAGACATTACTTCTGAGAACACACAGATGTCCAAAACTATATATTCAGCATATTGGGGTGACTCTCCATGGTTGGAGAGAAGTGGGTGAGGGGCAGGAAGTAAGGGGGATGGTCAGTTAGGAAAGGCGCATGCACAAAGCGATAATGAGACCACACCAAGGACTGGGCTTATCTCCTGGGCACTTTCCTGTTCTAGTGACTCCTCACTTGAAGGTCAAAAAGGAAGTGAAGGCCAGAGCAGTCGTCACTATTGAATGGCAGTGACTTTATCCAGAGTGCAACACTGCCCACTGTGAAAGGCTACTCCCACATCCTGGCAAGTCTGACTTGCATTCCAATTCAAGCACCCATGCTGGAGCAATAAAAGGCCCTGATGTCATGGCAACCTGGACTTGACTCTGATTCGGCCCTGATGACCTTCATCTCTGAATCAGCAGCTCCACCTAAGCCTAGGACAGCAGCCAACCTAAGCACTGAAGACCATCAGCGGCCTCTCACCCCATCAGCCCAGCACTGCCTGCCCACACTCTGGGGTGCATGGCACATTACCCTGAAAGGAGAGACAGGCACCTGCAGGCAGCTCTGGCCTCTAGCCACAGCTCAGTCAGGCAACTGGCTGTCTCTCAATTCCATTTTCTGGGCCTCAGTACATTTAAGTGACAAAGATGTCTCTCATTCTTCTCGGCTCTATCAAGTGTCCTAAATACTCTTGGCAGCGTTGGGGTCATATGCCTATGTGAAACACACATTTCCAATCTACGGGCAGTCGCTGGCTGTTACATGGGGGCGGCTTAACCTGCAAGTTCTACATGTGCACACATCCATCCAGACAGTTAAAAGTATGACCATCACTAAACAGATGAGCTCCACTTAGCCACAGATTTAGACTGTAGCCATCATTTTATCCGTGTGAGCCAAGGGAGGAACACCAGGAGACATGAGCAAGAGAGCGGGTCTAGAACTATCTATCTCATCTGCAGAGACAGCATCCTGGTGCAAAGTACTTCTGTAGTAGTGTTCACAGACACAGAGCAGAGCTAAGGATGGAAGAAGCTCAGCAGGAGAAGGACAGTTATCACTGCTCCAGTTTTGTAGATGAGCAAAGACACACAGTGAGGAGGCACACACGGGCAGGAAGTCACAGGCAGTGTGTGTTAGGGGAAGAGCCATGGTGCACATGTACAGGTCAGAGGACGACTTGCGAGAGTCAGGTTTCTCTTCCTACCATTGGAACCAGGGGGTGGAGCTCAGGTCATTCGGCTAGGCCGAAAGCGCTTTTACCCTTTAAGACATCTTGCCAGCATGAAAGACTTTGGGTGTCTGTTAAAAGGCAATCAAGACAGCCGGGGTTTGAGCTTCTGCCCCAGTGCCTGCTGCAGGGAGAGGTGTCCAGGGCCCTCACTCAGACTGTGAGTTTTGGGTAATACTGTGTGTCAGATTTGCACACTCCAAATCTATAGGCCTCTTAATGAAAAGATGCTTTACACTATTTTGTTCTGAGACTTCTGGGCAAGGAGACATAGAATTCACTCCTATGAAGCCACTCCCTCCAGACCAGACAACAGAAAGTCAAAGACTCTGGCTTTTGGGACAACAGTCCTGAAGAAAGGCAGACTCCAAAGGGGTTTTTTCCAGAGTCAACAGAGAAAGGCCAGAAGGCTTTGGGCTGAGACTTTGAGCTTCCACTTGTGCAGCGACATCATTCCTCTCAAGGAATGGGCCCTGAAAGGCACCCCCACCACCACGCTCCCTGTGCTACGGTGTCTCTGCTAGGACAACACTCTGAATTTTAGTTGCTGCGTGTTTACAGTAACATCCGGGTCTGCTTTCTAAACAAAACACTAAGAGTGAGGCAACAGCACAGCAGGCAGCACCCGCACACCAGAGGCTCACACCTAGCCCCTTGGCCTCAGGGAAGACACCCCAGAAGACATCAGGGCTGGTCAGTGCCACCTCCCCCAGGGGCAGAACCCAGCAGGGCGAAACCCGCAGCTCCCACACTCGGAGCACACTTACCTTCGTTTACGAAGGATGTGAATCCAGATAGTCCCAGAAAGAAAGAAGAACAAAGCCATGGAAACATACAACTTGGGGAGAGGGATCTCCCCGGCAGAGAGGTAGCTGTCCGGGTTCTTCTCAATGATATCAATCTGAAACCAATGTAAGACTCAGTAGGGCTCCCTCTTAGAAACAAAGCGCCTCTCGTCCACACACTCACAGCTGCCCCCAAGCTTGAGAATGTGAGTGCCAGCCAGTAACAAGCAGGTTGCTACAGTCTGGGCTGGTGAACACAGCCACCCAGCTCGACACTTCCTTCTTCCTGAGTCCTCTGCAAGAGCACCCTGCCCACTCCGGGGTACTCACCAGCCCCACTTTCTCACACTAGTGTCTCATATACTCTCAATGGCAAAGGATACTCTCAGGATGCACAAAGCCCCATTTCATCACTAGCACCAAAACCAAAGCAAAATAAACCAGAAACCTTCCCACAGGAGCCAGCCTATTCTTATTTTTTATTTTTTATTGGTGTGAGGCTGTCAGACCACCTGGCAGTGGAGTTACAGACAGCTGTGAGCTGCTATGTGGGTACTGGGAGTTGAGCCTGAGTCCTTTGGAAGAGCAGACAGTGCTCTTAGCCACTGAGCCACCTCTCCAGTCCCTTTTTTAATCTTATTTTTTATTTTTTTATTGGAAAGCCTAGCCTCCTAGCCTGTTCTTATGGAGATGCAGATGTCTCACACTGACAGCAGCCTTGTGGTTGTTCATGTGGTACTCACGTTCAGGCTGAATGAGACCTGGCTAGGAGACCTCAGCTTGCTGCCTGGGCACTTGTGGAAGTAAAGGCTGTACAGGCCTTCCTGGTCATTGGTGCTGATGTTAAAGGAGAACTGGAAGAGAAGAAGAAAGAGGTGCCCACAGCCTCAGCTGCAGCTCCCAGTCTCAGAAATCAGTTAGGGTCCCAGCGGACAGGTTAGTCGGCCTTGGAACCCCTGGAACAGGCGTCAAAGAGGGTGTCGTCATCCAACGAGCCTCTTGTACCTTCTGCCAGTGTTCAAGCACACAGATGGCTGGTGCCATGTGGTGGCTGCCTGCACCTGGCTGCCTGGGTGCTGTAACTCACTTCCACTGTGACCACCTGTCTGTGATGGTTCTGCTGAGGTCAGCAGAGATGGCCAAAGACACAACATCTCATTTTCAAGTCAACTAACCACTTCACTTTCTGAGAAGTTAACAGTGGGCTCCATCAGCCACTAACTGTCACACCGATTAAAAGTTATAAGATAGACAGTGACACACAGGGCCAGTGTGTCCCACTGTAGGCACGTGAGCTCAGTGGCTCTTCCGAGTTAACAAAGGCACAGCCTGCATGGGGAATGCACCACCATGTGCTGCCGGGGACATGCGCAGGCAGTTCATAACTGGGCTGGCTAGGTGGGATACCCAAGGCCACTAAAACTATATCACCTCAACCCTCAGCACAGGTCCTTCCAGCTATGACACACCCAAGTGGGACGAAGTATGGACTGACAGACGGGAGAGGCAGAGGGTCACAAGAGGACCTCAGCAGAGTAGGTTTGGAATCTGGGCCTGTTATTATACTGCACTTTCACGTAGTTTCTCTTTGTCAGAGATGCATAGCTTGGTTAGCAGATGAAGCTAGCAGCCTAATGGTGGGAGGGGAGTGATCCTTCGGCCCAGCGATCACACAGGAGCCCCAGTTACTATCCCTATGGGCAAGGTGCCAATAAAGACTCGTCCTTTCACATGGCAGAGAAAAAGTACACTTTACTCCAAGGTAATACATACCTTAAAGGAAACTGCCCCATCATTCTTATGAATTGAGAAGGCTTTCTCAGCTGTTGCCTAAAAAGACACAAGAATCAGTTTCAGGCCAACAGTGGCAGAAACCATGCTTAGGAAAATCAAAGCTAATTGGGGGGGAAGGAGGGGTGAAGAGATAGCTCAATGATTAAGCGCACTGGTTACTTTTGCAGAGGTCCCAGGCTCAACTTCTCCAGAAAACAGCAGCTCACAATTGTCTGTAATTCCAATCCCAGGGGATCTGATGCCCTCTTTCGACCTCTGTGAACACTGTGTGCATGTGATACACATACATACATACATACATACATACATACATACATACATACATGCAGGCAAACCATTTAAGAAAAAAATAAAAGCTAAGCCTGATGGTGGTGGCACACGCCTTTAATCCCAGCACCTGGGAGGCAGAAGCAGGCAAATTCTGAGTTCTAGGCCAGTCTGGTCTCCAGGACAGCTAGGGCTACTCAGAGAAACCCTGTATTGAAAAAACAACAAACAAACAAACAAAAATGGAAGCTAGTCAGACTGGAGAGATGGCTCAGTGGTTAAGAACACTTGCTGCTCTTGCAGAGAACCCAGGTTTGGTTCCCAGGACCCACATGATGACTTACAAACTCTCTGACTATAGTTCCAGAGGATCCACTACTCTCCTCTGGCCAATGCAGGCAGACATACATATGATTTTGATATATACATGCAGGGAAACACTATGCTGGCTAGCTTTACATCAACTTTACACAAGCTACAGTCACCTGAAAGGAGGAAAACTCAATTGAGAAAATGCAGCTCCAAATCTGGCTGACAGAATTTTCTTAATTAGTGATTGATGAGGGAGGACCCATCCCATTGTGGGTGGTGCCATCCCTGGGCTGGCAGTCCTGGATTCTATGAAAAAGCAGGCTGAACAAGCAGCGGGAGCAGGCTAATAAGCAGCAGCCTCCATGGCCTCTGCATCAGATCCCGCCTCCAGGCTCCTGCTCTGCATGGCTTCCTGTCCTGACTCCTTCAGTGGCGGACTACGATGCAGAAAGAACCCTTTCCTCCCAGCGTGCTTTTGGTTATGGGGTTTCATCATAACAACAGTATCCCTAAATAGGACACTCATACACATAAAAATAAATTAAGGCTAACTAAAAAAAAAAAAAAAAAAAAAATCTCTTCAACACCAGCACTGCTGACCTTCGAGAACTCTCTGACAAGAACATTCACTGTCTTTCCAGATAGATCTGAGATCCTGTCTCAGAGAAGCCAGCTCCCCTTTCCCATTTCCTTCCTCAGTTTCCTTCCTCCTTGGCTACTCTGTAACTCCCTCCCTAGTCTTCCTGTGAGTGCGCCTCTACTCTAAAGCTTTTGCAGGATCAAGGCTGCTGCCCCGGGCAAAGCCAAACATCCCACCTATACTCTGCTCTTGACTTCAAATACCAGAATGTTGCCATCTGCACAAGCAATTAATACCAAGCCCCGGAAAGAAACCAACTACACACGCATGGGAGCAGGAAAAACTAACTCCAGTGGTTGACAGTAGAAGGCTACATCCTTCCTGCACGGTTCATTGCTATAAGGCTCCCTAAAGCTGCTGTCTACTGCACCAATGGTTGTGTCAGCACAGGAAGGATGATAAAGGGGCAGAAGAAACCTTTGAGGTGATGGACACATCTACGATCTTGATTGACAGGTCAAAAGTATATGACTGGCCCTGTAAATACAGGCAGTTTACTGTCACCCAATCACACTTTCACAAAACTGTCAGAAGAAAGAAAACAAACGAGCTGGGAAAGCTAGGCCAGTGTGTGCACCTGGAAAAGCCTGGGAGGCAGAGGCAGGAGGACCAGGAGTTGGGGCCAACCTCGGCTATGTAACAAGGTGAAAGCCAGCCTGGGCTACAAGAGAGCCTGTCTACAAACAACACGGTTGAATGTCCTCTCACTGGAGAATTGGGACATTGCAAAGCAAAACCTCCTCTGCTGTTCCTCTGCTCACTCCCCTGCACAAATACCTCTCTGTCCTCTTCCCTTCCAGCCTCACCTCTCAGACAGAGCCTTGTCCAGACCCTTCTGTCTCAAACTTGTGTCATCACAGCAGGTCCTCCCTGGGCCTGGGCATCACAATGTTTCCAGAATCATGAGCTCCAATTAATACCTGACCAAAGGCTCCCGACAACCTCCCATGGGCTGCCTGCCAACACCCCGTACCACCTGTGCTATTCCACGTCTGTCTGAGGTGGAACACGCCTACCATTTGGGCTGCCCTGTGCTGTGCAATCCAGCACTCCATGTAAGTTCGAAACAGTTTCAGTGTGTTGATGCTGTCTTTCCAAACACAAGCACTGTCAGGCACAGACACACATACATGCAATCACACACACACATCCAGAGAAGCTGAGCAGGAGGAAGGTCCGTGCTTACCTCTGAATCCACTGCACTTCTTCTAGCCTTGGAACCATCTAGAAGCACAAACATTTAAGAGATATCACTGCCTAACTCAGCTCACACATCATACAGCACAGCATCATTTTATGGACCTCCGTTTACCTAATATCCCATCAAACAAAACATACAAATCTCGTGGCCTCCACCTCCTCGGGTCCCCAGACATAATTACTGGCTGTAGAAGCAGCAAACCAAAGTGGCGCACTGCCAATGTTACTGCACCAATCACAGCAGAACCGACAGGAGAGGCTCTGTGTAAACAGTGTTAATGGCAGAGGTGGCACGTGGAATAACTTTATATTCTTTCTAAGCACCACGTTCAGAGGCAGTTTAGCAAGCACCTGACTGATGCGATTTCCTTGGAGAGGACCTTAGTGTGGACAGTCTGCGTGGGGGGATGACCCGCACAGCCTGTGCACTGTGCACGGTGCATGGTGCTGAGCTGCACCGCCGGCCTGTGCTTGCAGATGCCCTGCTGGCTTCTTCTTTCGGTTGCTGTTGATTTTTTAGGGTGCCCCCAAACAACACCAGTGTATTAAAATTACTAGTGGAGGAAAAAGACATAAGCATGTTTTAATTAAAAAAAAAAAAAAAAGCTAATTAGTATATGGCTGGGGAAGGATAAGTTCAAGGTCATCCTCTGCTACATAGAAAATTCAAAGCTAATGTGGGCTATCAGATCCTGTCTCATAAAAAAAAAAAATTGCCAGGAGCTTTTTTTCATGGAACAGAGTGGACACCCGCCTTGCTGTCCTTAGGACCCCTGGGGAAGGTAGTTCAGCCCACTGCAGCAATGTTGTGTGAGCACAGGGTCTGGGAGCCAGAACGCAGGCACAGAGCTGCACCCTCTGCTCCAGTTCTTCACTGGGATTCTGCATCTGTATCAACTGTCTACAAATCGAGGGAAAACTAACACCATAAGTGGTAAGTGACCTTGAAAGAATGCATGAGTCACTAGATGGGACCAAGAGCTAGCACAGCATATCAACATCTGGAGAGAGGGACAGCCTCAGGAACAGCTCTCTGAAAACAGTAGTGTGGCCCGGGAAGCAGGCGCCCAAGGCCTAGTCACACAAACCCCCCTCTCCAAAACACTGCAAAAAGAAAACCAAAATCCAGCATGGTGTCCTCTGCCTTTTCATTTTGCCCTGCCCTCCTGTGCCGGGCTGCAGTCCTGCCCTGGCCAGGAACGAGCACTCCTCCTGCCTCCACCTCCCAAGGTCAAGGGCTGTGGACATGTACAGAGTCCAGCTCAGAGACAAACACCCCGAATTCTAGCATCAGTCCCTGCGGCTGCTTGCACTCCAATGGACGTAGCCCATCCACCCAAGGTGGGACCCCGTGTCGATGTTCTCAAGGGCGGTGTGCCCTCTGAGCCAGACTCCAGCTCCACTACCCTATTAGGACAGCAGTCCACACACAGTAATTTTTCTTTCTAAAAAGACGGGTGTGTGTATGTGTGTGTGTCTTATGTGTGGGTGTCTGGGGAGGCCAGAAGGGCTTTGGATCCCTTGGAACTGGGGTTACAGGTTTCGTGAGTCACTGATGTGGGTGCTGGGATGTGAACTCGGGTCCTCTGAAGGGAAAACAAGCTTTCTTAACTACTAAGCCATTTCTCTAGCCCCTACACAAAAGGATTCCTATGAACAAAGACCTTCAATGCCACAGCACCCAAATAAACCTGGAGATGACAATGTATCACTTTAGGGAAAAGGCTGAGCAGGTGACAGAATCATTTACTAGGACAGCTGGATGAAGCAGAACAAAGCCCATGGACATGCACAGGCCGTGCACGTGACTAGAGCTGTGAACCAACACGTTCTAGACTGAGAAAACAAGGCCAACCAGGGACAATTACCAAAGAGCTAAGCTGGGGCACAGGAGAGGCCTCTTTTCTCTCTTCCTTCTCGTGCTTCTTCAGTAAGTTCGTTCTGTGTGGCCTTCAGCACACAGTGCTCAGACAACACAGACCAGGCTGCAGTTCCTGAAAACAAAACCTCTACAAAGCAGGCTTACCAAGGGTTCTCTGCACTGTGCTGTCTGCAGGGATGGGGCTGACAGCAGGCTCCTGGCTCCAACTCAGGTCTTTCTCATCCTTGCTGAAGACTATCTTTGGTAACTGGGTGCCAGCTTCTGGAGGGGATCTGACCTTGACTCTGTATCCACAGAAGACAGAAAGGAGAGCTCAGAAGAGCGTGCCAGCCATTACTAAACACTGCTGAAGGCCCAGTTTAAGCTCTGTCTTTTTATTTGTCTGTTTCCCAGAGAGGGTTTCTCTGTGTAGCCCTGGCTGTCCTGGAACTCATTCTGTATTCAGGCTGGCCTTGAACTCAGAGATCTGCCTGCCTCTGCCTCCCAGGTGCTAGGATTAAAGGCACGTGCCATCATCCTCCAGCTCTGAATCTGGCCACCTTGTCCCATCCTTGCCACACCAGAGATGTAGCTTTTGCTTTCCTCACTCTATGCTGCAGCTGAGGTGCGGAAAGGGTAAAGCACTGGCCAGGCTGGGAGATCCTGCAGGGACAGAGTGCTCACCTAGCCTGCACACGGCCCAGATCCTGGCCCCAGGCCTGCTGCCCCAAGCTAGGAAGCACCTGAGTGAGGAACCTGACAGTCTCTAAAGCCAGGGTTTTAGCAAATACATAATTATGCTGTTTCCATATCCCTTAAGGGTTCTTAGTGTGCGCAGAAAACTGGTGAAAGAGACACAGAAGACACAGCACAACAGAATCTACAATACAGTCAGGTGAAGCCCAGAGAACTGTGAGAGGAGCTGAGGACACCGTTATTTACTGGCCCAAAAGCCATTTCCTCCTTTCCCAGTCTTTTTGTTTCAAAGATTAACTAATTATATGTGTGTGTGTACATGTGAGTTTATGTGCACTGTATACATACGGGATCCTGCAGAGGCCAGAAGAGGGCTTCCAATCCCTACAGCTGGAGTTGTAGGTGGGTGTGAGACACTGTGGAATGCTGAGAACCACACCTGGGTCCTCTGCAAGACCTCTGCAAGGTCCTCTGCAAGTGGTTAAGAGTGCTCTTAACCACTGAGCCATCTATCCATCATCCCCTCCTCTTTTTTTTTTTTTTTAAAGACAGAGTCTTACTATATAGCCCTAGCCTGGAACTTACCATGTAAACCAGGCTCATCAAACTCAAAGAGATCTGCTGGCTTCTGCTTCCTGAGGCTGCAATTAAAGGTATGTGTCATCATACCTCGCCCTCCTTTTCCCTTCTTAACAGACCCAATTTTGGCTAGGCCATCCACTCCTGCCTGACGGCACACCTGACCTAAGCCAGTGCATTAGTCAAACCTGCCTCCACTGCTCCTTCCCCTTGGCAGAGAGCACTGGTGATGGCTGGGACAACGCCTGAGGAGTGGACACTGGTAGGCACAGGTTACCGTGTAAGTCAAATGCTGATTTCTGTACCCCCATATTTGGTTGCAATCCTTGTTCTGAGAATCTCCTCTCTCAATGTTCTGTAAATCTCCTGTCTCAATGTTCTGTAAACTCCGCTCCCCAATTGTCCCTTGATATGCTAATAAAGCAGCTTATAGCCAATCAATGACCAGAGAAGAGAACAGGGCTGGACTTCCAGCCAGCCTGGGGAGGAGGAATGAGAAGAGAAATTAGGGGATTGAGCCACAGAATAGGTCCAAGAGAGATCAGTAGACGGTAAAGATCAGGAAAGCTACAAAGTGCAAGCATCTCTGGGTGTACACTGGGAAGGAAGCATATTAGCTTAGAGGGTTAAGAATAGAGTAATAACTGCTCAGTTATTGTGTTATGAAGCTTATAATTAAACAAAAAGTCTCAATTTTTTGTGTGATAGCCAGGTTAAGAAAGAAACTGAGAAACAGACACACTTTCATAAAAATAATGTTAAGAGGCACTGAGGGTGGGAAAGCAGAGATGAAAGGCACCGAGTCTCTAGCATGAGCAAGCTGCCATTGACCCGCCCTTTCCTGAGCCTGCCTGCCACCAAGGGATTCCAGGTGGGTGAGCCAATCCTGTCTCATTCTTTCTGCCAGGCTCAGTCAGGTCCTTCTCTCCCAGTTGCCAAACACACCATAACCTAGGAGATTGTCAGCCTTCCCAACAGGTGAAATCAGCAGCAACCAGGGGTAGATGTCTTTGAGGCCTAGAGTAGTTCTGTGGCAAAGCCCTTTATTTTTTTTAAGAGACTGCCTCCCCGGAAGCTTCCTTTTTTTATTTCTAACTTTGTTCATCTCAAATTAGTCATTCTGAGCTGCTGGTGGCTGGGTCTGAAAACAATCTGGACACAGTATTCTTAGCTTGCAACCCTCTAAAGAATCCCTCAGAAATTATACACACGCCAGGGAGCTAGCTCACTGGGACAAGCTGGTGGCTAACCCTGACAGCCTGACTTCAAGCCCTGAAGCCTGCACACAGAAGAAGAGAACCAGCTCCCACAAACTACTCTCGACTACCTCATGTTCTGACTAGTACCCATACAATCAATAAAATGTACGAAAAGAGGGAGAAGTCACATACAAGTTGGTGTGCCTAGGCCACCAACTTGGTGCTTGGTTGGCAAAGTACTTGCCTCCAAATTATGAGGACATAAACTTGGTCCTCAGAACAAATGCACAAAAGTGGGCATGGTGGTGTGAGCCTGCAATCCCAGTGCTGGGAAGTGGAGACAGGAGGATTCCTGAAGTTTACTGGCCAGCTTGTCTAGGTAAATCAGCAAAGATTCAGGCTCAATGAAAGATTTCATCAAAAAATAAGGTAGA